GGGAAAGAGAAACAAAGAAATGAGGCAGGAATAACTGATGAAACATTCAGTGAAATGAGACAATCTTCCAGTTAAGGGTGATCTGAGGCAGCGATTACTGCAAGTTCAGTTCACAAGCTAATTGTGACTCTTCATCACAACACACTCAAGTAACAAGTCTGGCCAAACTTCATTCTGTTCATCCTCCCACTAAGGTTCAGTAGCCTTCCCATTCCCATTCAGGTGGAGTATTTAAGCATCACAAGAACTGGTTGTAGCATGGCTTCACACTGACTGCCATACTGAATGGCACTGACATACAAGCAAGACTCACTGGATAACCCCCTCTACCCAGGCTGAATAGAGGATGGGTCAATGCATCCTGCCATTGATGAGATAAGCAAAAATGATTTGACTTGATGGTGGTCTGAGGGATTTTCTCTTCTTTCTCACAAGAGCTAAATGATGGCCACATAATTGTGACGGATGGACAGCGCGTGTTTCGACAGCTTCATTTATTGTTATTCAAGAGAAGTAAAAAGCACTTGGGTCAATATAAGCTTTCAGTTGTGCTAAGAAATTGTGGGCTGACATCCAATAGCTGATTAAAGATGTTAGTGGTAAACAAACAGTTTGGACAGTGAGGTCAATACTATTCTGCGAGTTCTACAGCATGGTTCGTAACCCCATCAGCAAGACATACGATGATTAACAAAGCTCTGAGCCTTGACTAAAGCAATCATTACCAACACTGCGTTAGACCCTGTGGGCTGCTAAACAACCATAGCTTTAGGTGAACCTATCTACACAGCTGCATCAAATCATGCTGAAAGTCATCCTGATTTCAAACTCATCAACTTCAGGAGACCATTTCCATGTTTTCCAGAAACATTATATACTTGGCTTATTTTTTATTTTAACTAATAATTATAATTTGAAAAAATCAAGCCTTACCATCTCCAGATCCAAAACACGGTCCTATAAAGACACACAAACACAATATAAACTTTATGTGCATATAAAAATAACGAACCAATAGCAAAGTAAAAATTATGAGCTAGCAAATGCCGCAGTGTGTATGGAAGAGTACATCCCATGTCTCTTATATGATTGTTCCTTGATTGACCCAGAATTCGTTCTGGTCAAGCAAGGAGCTAGGAGGCTGCTGGAACAACACCTCCCCCTTTATTGGAAATCAGATGGGGATTGGATGCTTCAGATGAGGATTTGGAGGAAAGGATATCTTGTGTCTCTTAAAACTTTTCCTCTATCCTCAAATTTTTTCCTCTCTTTTTACAAGGGAGGAACTAAGGCAAAAGGAAAAGAAGCAAACAAGGAAAACATGGCTGAATATAAAAGACTTGGTATGTGCCCAGTGAGTCCAGGTGACTGTTCAAAATGGTGGATTAGCAAAGAGAAACCCAGTATACTGTAGATGTGTGTTAGTGACAGAAGAGAGGAATAGAGAGTTCCAACAAATGGGTAACAAGGGAAGGAAAGGCAGGGGCTAGGGAGTCTGTAGCACACAGCAGGCTTCTTATCACGCACACAGACAAACCGCTCTCGCCCGCTCATCCAGCTCCTGACTGATGTTCCCTCTCTAACGATGCATAAGTGATGCTATGACTCTTATCTGCCACTCAAACACACACCTGCTCTCCCCCCACCCCCAAACTGGTTGCCTCTCCCCCTCTGCCTGTAATGTGCTGATGGTTTGTAACATGGCTTTTCTTTTTCTCAGACCACCCCCCAACTTTTTTTTTTCTTTTTACTCATCTACGTCCTTCATTCTCTTTCCTCTCCACATCTCTCTCGCCTCATCCTTCATAATTAAAAGCTCAGCTGGGTCTGAGAGGGCTGATTAATTGCACACAAGCTCTGGCAGGTGCCATCATACAGCCACACATAGGAAACCTGTATCCAACACACACACACACACACACACACACACACACACACACACACACACACACGCACAAAAATGTTCGGAAAGAACGACTGCTTAGCAGACATTTTAGTGTGCACGTGCACAGTGTGTGTTATGCCGTTTAATGGGGAGTAAAGGCCCAGTGATGCACTGGGGGCCAGTCCACTCCACATTAGGTGGTGTTGGCACCCTGCCAAGTGCAGATGCTGTGGCACCAAAAGACATAGACAAGGCCTCTGGCGGCTTTTAAACTCCAAGGCCTTGTGTCTGCAGTAATTATCTACTTGTCCAAGCAAGGCTGCAAGGAGCCTGTCAGGACCACAGCTGTGTACTAATGTTTGTAACACTGCATCACAGGACTCAGATGACTAAAGGCCAATAGTTACTAAAACAGATATGCAAAAAAAGAAAAAATAAATAAAGACAATACAGTGTATAAACAAAGAGCAACAGCTGTCTCCTTTTGGCAGCGTGTAGTTAAGATTAGGACAGATGGATATTAAAGTCTACCATCTAAAGTGCAGGTTACCAGATGAGAAACATATGGATTAATCAAGTCGCATAATGCTGACCTGAAGGCTCCTCATTTCGTCGTCCTTCTTGCGACTCCTCTCCAGCAGCTCTGCAATGACAACACCGTAAGAAGAGGTTTCTGTTGGGATAGCACTAGAAACTTACCAGTCCAATCTCAAATTAATGAGACCCGAGTAAATCCAGTGCTGGAAAGTAACATTTACTCAAGTACTGTACCCTAAGTACAATTTTGAGCTCCATCAGGTGTTGTGTATTCTCTGAATACCCATATGATCTATAGACTATTCATGAGTAAATATTTCTAGTAAAATATCAAATATTTAACCTCCCAGAACAACACCACAAAAGATTGTTTTTAAATTTTTTGTTAATTGTGTGTGATAAAAGCTACTCATCCTAATGTGTCGACTGAAACAGTTTAGTTTTACCCTAACAGGTGGATGAAAGACAAACTCTGCTTGTGTTTGTTGTTGACTGCAACCCCAAATTGTTTTAATTACAATCACTGACTGTTTGCTTAATGAGATGCAGATGTAGAGGAAATACTCCGGTTTCGTTTTATTAAGCAAATGCCACAAAACTTACTCTTGGCATTAAGCTGAACAGAAAAGGCTTTATGCAAACTGTTTTAACAAAATTTTACTGGATTGGTCTATTGTTTAATAAACAGTTGCTTCAAACATGATTCAGCTGATTAGAACATGATAATGAGAGAAGCTTTCCACTGACAGTTAACATACTGATGCTGCCTTTGTGAAAGCATACAGTCTGGAAATATGTCTGCAAACATATTACTAGGATTGCTCGTTTGCTTCTCACCCAGACCCTTTGTCTCAAAGGTGTTTTTAAATTCAGTATCCAGCTACCAGGGGAATGACTTCATCTCCGCCTTCTTGAACATGTGTGCATGTAAACAAACATACACTGGTCAACCCTCTTGACAGTAATATTGAAAAAAGCCAAATGCAATTTCTGCTTATGGAAAAAATCTTCAGTATCTCCAACCTTTGCTTTTAGCTTGCCTGTTAAAATATACCTTGAAGTCAGCAGAGAAGGGATGTTAGCAGTAGCCTTCTATTGCTGCCAAAGTGCTGTTCTCTGACTCACATAGTCAGATGTCACCTACTGTAAAACCTCAGGTAGGTCATAACTACAGCTGCCTACACATGCAGTGCAGGCTTGTTTCAAAAGGAAAAGGCCAACAGAGAGCACGCCGCTAGTGATGAAAGGTCTGAAGACAGACTGCAACTGCAACCTGACACTAATACACTGTGAGGCAATTATATCAAACAGGGCTTCTGCGGACTGCAGGCATTACTAGCTAATCTAGTGAGCTGAGCAGACAAAAAGGGCCAATATAATATACAGTACACTGCATAAGAAAAACACGCCTCATAAAAATACAATTCCCAGTTTGCTCATATAAATAGTTCAATCTGTTGTGATGGGGACAGGAAAATTTGCACTGCTAAGTGTAGTGTTACAGATGCCTTTTGTCATTACTGCTTATCATACTATATGCATTCAGGCATGCTAGGGATTTTTAAGTCTTGTGCTGCTCTGCAATAATACAACAGAGCCACTGAGCAGCCACAATACCGAGAAGCCATATCCAAACCACAGGCAATAAAAGTTGCTCCACACTTTCATTTCAAATAAGATCTCAGATCTTGCAGCTGTTGTGATACACAGATAAAGTCACTCTTAGGTCTAATTAACAAAGGAGGGCACATCAGTGCATCTGCCTGCAGAGGAGACTGTCAAATTGGGTCCAAAGAAAGAGGGAGCAATGTTTACTAAGGCAGTGTGGAGATGAGGCTGAATCATTAGGCTGCTTATCCCTATGGTGATATGCTACCATTATAGCAAAAACATACAGTGAAATGATGGATAGTTCATTGTCTCCCTGACGGTGTCCAGTTAGAAAGCTCTCTACGGTCTCAGTGAGTCTTTTAACTCTTAGTCTCTCAGTTAATGGAACACAAATTAGGCCCATTTCCTCACCTTGCTCAAACAAAGCACTAAAAACAGGTTGTTCCTTCTCTGGCAGTTGCAGCTCATTAGGAGAAATTCAGTCAAAAATTGGACTCGGGATGGGAAAAACAAGTCAATTTTCCACAGAAGTCTCAAAGTTCACACACATTAAGATGCTTCCTCAAACATCTGTAAACGTAGACCAATCTGTGTGCACAGTCTTAAAGAAAACAATACATCAGATAGGCACAGACTGCCACCTTCACAGGCATCCATAACAACACAGCACACAAAAACCACTCGGTAACAAAAGCCCTTCAGTGATATGAAGACATGGCATTAGTTATTGCTCTTAATGACAGTGTGATTTAATGTAAATGTGAAAGGAAGAAATCAGGAAGTCATGTAATGTGTAGGCTAATAGGTGTATCAATCACAACAAACAGTCAAAGGAATCACTGCATTTTCATGAAGAGCTTGCCATTTCATCACCATAAATTCAACAATTATGGGCAACTTAAGGATTTCTGGTTAGCTGCCTGATAAAGAATCCAGCGCCGGATTATTCTCACATGATGCCGTGCTATGACAAATTTTATATGGCGTGAGTATGACTCACTGGCATGCTTTGATGACAATACCATGTTTTAAGCAAGAAAATACACAACACACAAGTGTGAGGTAAATCAATGTGAAAGTATTTGTCTAATTAAATACACTCTTTACCTTTCTTTTCAGTGCTGAGGGAGTGCAGCAGCTTCTCTTGTTGGTCCAAGCGTTGCAGGAGAGCAGCCTGTTCTGAGTCGCGGCTCTGCCTAAGGGCCTTCAACTGAGCCCTGGTCTGCTGATGCTGCTTCCTCAGGCGCTGTTCTCTCGTGTCACGCTCCCGCACCTCTTCACACAGCCACCGCAGCTTAGTCTAGTTGCAATAAGTATACAATCAATACACCATCTGTTGAAAAGAGCTGAAGCAGGATGAGTTTGACAGGTTCTTATAGTCAGCATTATATAAGGGAAACAGGAAGTCACTGTTCTAGTACTAAGGTCTCAGTTTTCACCTTGCTACTTTGCATTCAACCTATTCCTATTAGCGTCCTTATATAACCATAAATATACTCCCACTGGTTTTCTACTGAAGAAAGGGATCAGTTCTTAAAAGAATCCTTGTTTAGTCAAAATCTTTTTGAAAAATTCACATCTTAATTCCTCTGTTTATTTCTGCTCCAGTACTGTCCAAGCAGTCCAAGTTTACAATTTACTTGAAAGCTATTTCAACACAAAATATATTCTGTCATTTTGACTTTGATGAGGTGTTAAACTCAGGTTCAGAAAAGATAAAAAGACTTGAATATATTTCAGAGAAAATAGTGGTCTAATAAGACTGTAAATACAACAGAGAATATAAATAAATGTACAATATTTCTTGCAACAGCCATAAATCATGCCTAGACTTTACCAACTTAGAAAGTCCTAACAAGGGAGCTAATTATCTTGTTTTCCAATGTTTTATTCTTGGAAGTGTATAGTACTCTGAAAGCATTTATGATGGAAAATATACATTATGATGATAAATACCATGAATTGTGCAAACACATTTAATACAATATAATGCAGTACCACCACAGGCATAATTAAATGTTTCTTTTCACTTCATCATTGCAATAAAACAAAATGGGGACAGACTTTTTAGCAAAAGAGCCAGAGAAAAGATTGACAAGATGGCAACACATTAAATAAAACATCTCATATTTTCATCAATTAAAAGAATCTCATAAAGTAGATCATAATGTCAATTCTGATGCTTGTATAGAGGAATCAGTGAAATATTGTTCTATGACTAAACCTTTAGGAGTAGTGCCATTTACAGTTGTCCTTGTCCACACATTCGGTCACAAATCCCCTTCCTTGTAATCACTGCTAACTGTACTCAGCAGTGGTTTCCACAACAAAAAAATCATGTTTTTCTCAGAGGCTGTATGGCAGTAAATGTTGGTTTTGCACAATCATGTGGCTGGTATGATAATATCGCATTTGCCAAGACAAAATTATTGATTTACACATACAGTATTTTATGCTACTGTCTTCCATTTATCTTCTATGCTTGAGCATGATGTTCATGGTCTGCATGGTTAACCTTGTAGCTTGATTACATAAATGTACAGTATAACTATTCAGAAAAATCCTTTGTAAGAAAGGCAGCACTGCTGCATGTCATAATCATACCTTCGTCTCAGCTAGCCAGCGGTGGGGATCTCTCACTAATCCAGGTTTCTGTGAGATAGCCTGTTAAAAAGAACAGAGAAATTAAAGTAAATGTGAGCTTTCCTGCCAGTGTTACCATGCAGTACAAAATTCTGTTCTTAAAAAGTGTACTTTGCAAAAAGACAAGAATTTATAATCATGATTTTTTGGATGTTTGAGTACATGGACAAAAACATATGAAACAGTAATTAAAGGGAAAAGACAGAACTTGAGAAAAAGCAAACAAACAGTGATCAAAAAAGTGGATGGACAAACAAGATAAAAGTCAGAAGCACAGCCTCCTGTCAAACCCTGAACTTTTGTGAATAACGGCATCTGCCAACTTAAATTGGTGTGCACCTGTGATAAACAGCCTGTGACACTACACACACACCGGTGCATGCACAAACACTTACACACAGAGGTTGTGTGTGTCATAAAAATGAGCTCAGGGAGTATGTTCCATTATTCACACACAAGCTTGTCAGCATCAGCAATACAAAGTGACAGTCTGTCAACTCCTAATGACTACTGACACACACATCTACATGCAAAAACACACTCTTAAGACAAAAAGACACTCAGATAAACTTGGATACACAGATAAGCAGTCTAATAACTAGATGGCATGGAGCTGAGAGTGCACCTCCGCCAATGTTATGAAACTGTTGAGATGTCAAATTTTCACCAAAGGTTAGTATTTTTATGCTTCATTATCTGCTTGTTTCACATGAAGCGATGCGTGATATGTGCATGCCAGCACCTGCAATGAAACACAGTACCTCTTCTAGTTTTAACCTCTTGTAGGTATTTTAACTTGATTATAGTACCCTCAATACTGTACAATAGTCAATCAGGTCTCTACCTGCACGGTGGCCATTAGTGGTGCACTTTAACCACTGCACTAGGTTTAGGCAAAAATGGAGTGGCAGGTTATCTTTCTTAGTCTTGGTTAGACAGTGTTAGTGCAGACAGCAAAAATTAGACAGAGGGCAGTGACATTCAAGAAAGGCTCTTGAGTTTTTATTGCATGTTATTTTGGGGCCTCCATTATAAAGCAGAGTGGCAGTTTTATCCAATTAAAAGAAAAAAGTGCCTTTCTACTTCGTACTTTCTCAACAATGGAAGTTTCTCTGTGTTTACTGATGGGTCATATGAGACTATGTGGGCATTTAGATTTAAAACAGCCCTGCATTATACCAACAAAGGGGGGAGGGGATGTACAGTCTCATGCAAAATTTAGGCACCCCTTGATAAATAACAGATTTTGGTGATTTTTTATTTGAACAGATGTTAACACAGTCTCTCTTGGAAATGGAAAAAATGCACAATATTTTCAGCAAACAGTGATGCATAGTTACTTCTTATGCCATAAATTGAACAAAAATAAAAAATAAAAACTATATTATGGCACGGTGCAAATGTTTGGGCACTCTTAAGAGTTCCTTAATCAGCTCGTTAGATCTGATGCACAGCAACAGCTGTCATTAGTAAATGCCAATTTCAAAGCTGTACAAATACTTTGACTCTTCAAACCTTGTGCACACACTTGCGGACACCCAACAACTATGGGTTCCTCTACGCAGCTGTGTAAGACCCTGAAAATGAAAGTTATTGATGCCCACAAGGCAGGAGAAGGCTACAAGAAGATAGCAAAGCATTGTCAGCTTGCAGTTTCCACAGTGAGAAAAGTAATTAAGAGATGGCAGGTCAGGGGAACTGTGGAGGTCAAGATGAGATCTGGAAGACCAAGAAAACTCTTGGACAGAACTGCTTGTATGCTGGTCAGAAAGACAAATCAAAACCCCCATTTGCCTGCAAAAAACCTCCAGGAAGATTTAGCAGACTCAGGAGTGGTGGTGCACCGTTCCACTGTGCAGCGA